GGGCGTGGCAGATAGTCATGAAAATTATGCCACTAATCGATAATTCAGAATAACCCAAATAATTTTGGACTGAAATTTGCAGCAGACGCCTTTAAACCTACTTTCAAATCAAGAAAGGAACTAGTTTATATTTAAACATTTTGTCAGGTAATCAAGTATGACTCATTCATTTTAAAATAATATAATAATTGCTCCTAAAGGTTGATAGTAGCTGAAAGTCTATTTTATCTACGGAAAGCGCCTACACTTTTGCACAAAGACAAATAAATCCGTGGCTATAACGAGTAGAATATTTTCAAAGGGTTCGTTGTTGGTTAAGCAGTAGTTTAAAATTGGAAAATCGAAATTATTTGCCATAAAACTAAATTAGTCATCACGCAAGCGAGACGCACGATTCCTTTCCTCCATTTAATTATTAACTTAAATTCTATAAATGTTTACCTGTTAGTTTGCTACGCTGAATATGAGCCAAGGTCAGTCCTATTCTATGTAAACTATTGGTTTGCATCCTAACCCACTAGTCGTTATTTTGGTCCCCACATTTCCAATTTCTTCACGAACCTAAATATATGCAACCGCAAATGCCATCGCGTCATATCAGCTCAGTCTTACGGTGAGTTTGTCAACTTTAAGTAATGCTTTCGTGAAATTCAAGTCCATGAACAAATGTCCACGTAAAACTTATTTTAGTCTGCATTCCGTCTGTTTAAAACAAAAACTTACCAAGTCATGATTGAATTGTGCTGTAAATCGCAACATTCTCCTGCGGAGTCTCTGTTCATTCAACAGTGTTTTTGCCAGAATGGCCTCGTTTAGACTTTGCACATGCTCATATATCAATCGTTCTGACTGCTTGTAAAAGTCGTCTCCAAGTATTGCACGTCGATTTTCGTCCTTATTGCTAGGACAAAATATCCTATTTGGTACTCGAAGTAATTGGTAGTCAGTTGAAATCGCAAATATTGCTAAGAGCAGTATGGATGAACAGCCAAAAAAGATGAAAATGATCTGATTTGTTCTTGCGAAGGTCATTTGAAGTGGAGAAACAGTTGCACCGGTGACCTCATGCACAGATTGTATTGGCCGAAAAAATGATTTTGGCAAGTTTAGATGATTTTGTTGGCATTTCCAGCTTGGATCCTTCTAAAATATGGTAGAGGTAACTGAAGATGCGTGTCGTCTTCTGGTGTCTGAGGTAGAACTAAGATTCATGACAAGTGAGTTAAAGTTGCTTAGAAAAAAAAGACAGCTTTGATTTTAAGAGCAGAGTCAGGTGAAAGCAGCGATATATTTGTGCCACTTTGAGGAGCGGAATTTGTTAAAAAAACTAGAATTTTCCTTGCCTTCAGTTTTACTATATGCTTTATAGATGAGAACTAACGTCATGCAAACACAATACACACAAATCATTGATCTCAAGGCTGGAGAAAACCGAAGCATTAGTCTTGGGAAAACAACGCTCGGATTCGGGCACAGCTCCACAGACTTTGTTCCTGGGCCAAGTCAGCCAGTTGACCCTCGTAGCTGAGGCAAATGCCATACTCATCGTTCCCCATTAGCGTTTCATGTTGCCATGCAACTGCGACCAAATGATACAGTTTGCATGCATAACCATAAGTGCACAACCCTGCAAAGGCAGACTGTGATTGCCCACGAGCAAAGCACTGTAGACTGGCCTTTAAACAAACATTTATTTCAAAACATTTGGTCTCTATTGGGCCAAATGCCATCGTCAAGAACCATTGAACTTGTAAGTTTCCAGTTCTACTAAACGTGCAACCCATGAACACTCATAAAATTGTTAACTAAAGTAAGGCTGTACCTAGATTCAAATTTGACGATAATAAATAAATTCCATCACTTCAGTTAAAAATCTAATTCCGATCTCGGTGAGTAGACTCCAATTTACGCTGTTTACCACCATTCAGTTCCAACATTCCATACATATAATTAATGTTGAACTTATGAATTCTTAAATCAAATTCGCTTTGTTTTTTATTCATCATATAAAAGAGGTTGTATGCAGTTGTAAAATATGTGAAATGATTTTAAGCTTAACAAAATTTAAAATATGGTTAATGGTAAGTAAAATTTTTGGAAAATTTACATATTCCCTGTTTGCAAACATCCTGAAATCACCGAACCCTACCATTGGTTATTCAAGTTCGTTTGTGGTTCTTTGTAGGACACATAGTTGCACAGCAGGAGTACGTGGTACACTGGTTTTGGGCTTAACGGTTTGCCAGTGGCAATTGAAGTGAACACAGACTAGTTTTCACGAAGCCAACTAAGTCTACAATCTAGGACTTGACGTGATGATGTTTAAAAGCTGAAGCATTTCAAGTTCCAAGACTGGCCGACGTACTAGGTATGCGCATAACTACGTAGTCAAGCTTTTAATTTATTGCTGTCAGGTGCCTAGCTAAAGTTACAACATAACTATCATCGAGTCAGAAATTGAGATCACGCAGCTCAAGGCGGGAAGTAAATTATTCGGTTGCAAAACTAACGCTGGGGATAAAACCGCAGTTCAGATGTAATCTTTTGAGCAATTTTTTGTTTACTCTAACTGTTTTCATACCTTAACGGTATCCACATAACTCAACCTACACAAAATATCATGCTTATTTTACGGTACTTGCTTCTAGACTACGATGTTTAAGGGTGATTTAATTTCGTAGAAACTATATCTCCAAACAAAAAACTGATTGGGTAATTGGATTACCGTGGTTTTTGCCTTTCCGAAAGCGAGTGCAGTCACTGGCCAAAGCACACAAACTCACCGACAATCCCCAACCTTTTACCTTTTAAAAATAAGTGTCACCCTTTAAGATTGGACGGACAGGCGCCTGAAGATTCAAATTAAAACAACAGGAATTTCAGTTGTCATTGGCGGCAACGAATATCGTCGAGTTTAAAAAATCACGTTTTGTCTCCACATCGAATTTAAGTGTTGATTTTCATATTTTTAAATATTGAAGGAAACCTACTCACCAACTGGGCATTGAGAAATTTCCTTATTGTGAAACGTCCGATTTTGAGAGGCCTAGCTGGAGTTTTTCGGGTTACCTACGAACATTTATGCAAAGGCAATGTAGGGACTGTGGCATGGAATTAGTTGTAATACGATTCAGGCATGTTTGGAGTAGCCATTTGAACAAGAATAATATGATCAGTCAAGATAGTAACTGAGTGACACTATATTTTATAGTTATTTAAGCAAACTGGTATTGTATGACAAGGTTTTTTTAATTTTTTTATAAAAAATGTGACAAAATATTTGCACAAATTACAGAAAAAATGCTTTCGGCCATTGGAATTACTTCGAGAAATGAGTATCTTAGAAGTTCTACGTAGGATCATGCTCCACCACGAATAGAATAAAATCAGCATGGATTGAGTGCTGGTAAGACAATTGTAGTCTCCAGAAAGTTTAAGCTTACCTCTTAGAACTACACAGCTAAGTAAATTTAAGTTAGTAAGCTGCCAAAATCCACGTTGTTCGGCCTTCTTTAGGAACAACATATCGAAAATAATAGCTAATTTTAGGGAATTTCCTCCAGGCGATGAGATAAAGCCGAGCTCCCAAGATACCTTCTTAATGAATACAGCCAAGGGCCATTTCAGGAAAATTAATAAAGGCTGCAGTTTTCTACATTTTTTGAATTTTAGAATAATTATCAAGGTCTACCGTGATTATTAACTCTTGACGCAGCCATTCATCGCCTATGTTTGTCTACATTTTTTATATATCGATTTAATTGTATGCTTTTGTGCATGTGCTTATAGAAAATATGATTTGAGATTTCTCAAAAATTACCTTTAAGAGCCCAATAGATTGCTTCATAACCAAATAAATTTTGTCAAATATTAATATATGCCACCTGAAACGCAGTTCCGCAGCAATACTTGAGATGTACATTCCAGCAAATGCAAAAGCTCACCAACTACTACTCTAAAGGGATAACACAGCTGGTCTAATTATTTTTTCCCAATTAATAACACGCACAGCGTTATGTTACGTCCTAGTCGGAATCAGTTGTCGTTTGAAGTCCGTACACTTTTTTGAAGTTAAGAGACACATGATTGCTTTGCCCTGTCTACCTTCTCAATCCTGCCAACCTCAGTTGTACTCAAGTAATTGATTATCATACCCTTCTATATAAACGTTGTTGAAATAATCTGGGCTTCCTATAAACGTTTAAGGTAATAATTTCAGTTAACGGGATGCATATCAATGTAGAGTTAAGGCAGTCGTCTTTTGAATAAGCTGCTACATGCCTCTTGATTTCCACGCAGACTTCTTTCTTTGTAAATGTCACTACGGTTCTCCCGTAAGACTCCATCTATCATAAAGTCAGGTTCATAGACCCGTTAAGCTAAGAGAACCAGTCTTTTGGACTTTAAGTGAATGAATCACTTTATCACTCTGTGTTGTTCTTTCATTAAATGGTGAATACAAAAAGAAATTCTTATTGCAGGTAAAGGCGCAGTGTAATGCTTTACGTGAGCAGAACTGTCACTTATGCTTAGACCGATAGACTTACAATCTTTAAATGCGGTTAATCATTTTGACAGGAACATTCAGAGTAGACACAAAGGTTCTGCACAATGCACGAAACTAGCTTCTGGTGCTTTTTTAAATCTAACTTGAAGTTTGCGGCACTCGTCGAAAATGAGGTGTTTGTATATGAAACCATGGGATATACCCGATTTAGCTACTCGCTAATAGCAACTTAACCGTATGGTTTGAGTTTGGAGGTAGAAGGCTGTTTTAGAATTTATGAAGGATACCGCAGTGAATCATGAAGATTACCATCTATTAGCTCTGTTGTCCTACATTTAGCTCCCTCGGTAATTCGTTCTTTTCAGCGTCCCAATTGATTGTGTGGACACGTCTAAGCATGGACGCGGACTTGTGTAAGTGCATAAACTGACTTGTGCACGAACAACAACTGAATTGATGGCATACGGTTGTGTCGACATTCCCTTTGATCATTTTAACCCTTTCCGGAATCTGCGTATCGCAATTGGACATAAACCGGGTCCATGATCATTGGGCTTGAATCGGGGCTACAGAGTAGGTAATCATTCGCAATTACTTTAAATAACCGAATTAAACTCACTCTTCGAATCATAGGTTTTGAAGAATGTGCACAATGAAAATAGGTTTCTTGGTGGAAGACGCTGCACTCCACAGGCTTTGAATCGTCCTGCTTGACTTTACCGTTAGCCCGATTGTGTTGTGGTGGTAGACCGCTTTGCGTACCAAAGTAAGTGGCTGCATCCACAACAAGTGTGCGACCTGCTAGAATCTCCCTCAAGATGGGGTATGTGTTGTAGAACCTCGTTACGATCAAGTAACAGTCGATGAAGAAGAATGTTAGCCTCAACTGACCCAGACTCATTGGTAGCAGGTGCGACATAAACGACCCTCCCGCTACTTTGTCTTTGTGCGGTTGTTTGACAGCAAAACGAGAGAAAATATTGGGAGAATCTTTTGGGGTTTGGCCTTCATTTGGTTGAACTATGGCGTCATGATCATCGATCGTTGCGAATGATCGTGATTCGAGTGGTTTGAAGGTGTCGCGATATAATGTCTGTGGTTTTTTGAATTTTCCATGAGCCGCCAGTTCCGGTTGCATGTAAACACTCGCCAGAAAATTCGGCTGGAAGTTTTTTGATGGAATTTTGTTTAGCACGGTGTCCTCCAGTCTATAAGAAATGGAAAAAAATAACGTCTAGATAATCATTCAAAAATCATCCGTCATTGAACCTAAAAAAACACTTTTTAATCGATATGCAAGTCAATGTTCTTCTTGTATATTACAGTTGTCTTGACTTTCGCGATAATCAAACACGATTGTAGGTTGCAAGTTTTTGCCTAAATTATGGACTTCCAAACGAACAAATAAAGGTAACTTAAACAAACAATTTCACCATTAAAGCCTGCTGTTCAATAATCAAAGGCTCAAGGTCGAGTTTTACGAATTTCGAAGAACTTCACGTGTAGTCACTGCAGATACGGTAAGAAAAAGGTATAATTATCCGTTTGTAAAACTCTCACTTCTAAGTGCGCAGGTGTTTGGACATGGCATACTCATACAGGTTAAGCTCTTCCTACCCAGGTCTTTAAATCTGGTGATAAAATCTTGGATATGTAGATATTCAGTAAGGCAGTAAGTCTGGGTCTTATTTTATTAAAGTTGCAATCTGAAATGTGCGGAAATTATAATGACGCTTATCAAAATACTTCAATAAATCAACATTTGGTCCAAACTACTTCAGTAGCAGTGATCTGCAGTACAATAACTACACAGCTAGTTCCACATTTTTTTATGAGTCCTCGTTTGCCTCAATGACAAACGTACACCTAATGAGTATTGTGGTGTTAGGTAAATGAAGAACCACCAATGACACCCTGACAAAGTCATTACGACCATTTTACAGCATCTTTGACATTATGACGAATGCTATACCCGAATAATCCCTTTTTTTCACTTATCACTTTAGTGGTGGCTCATTTTGTTTTAGGATGAAATATGTGTAGCCATAACTTTAAAAATCAAAGGTGATGTCGACTTAAGACATTATTTGTTGCAATCCCTTGTCCAGTAAACACTTGTTAAATTCTCACAATTTGGAACTTTTTTACATATGTTATAATAGCTTTTGCAACTGACAGTTGCTTTTCTACCGAAATTATAAAAAAAAGTTTTCTTAATCAGTCAAATTGTGCAAGCAAATCCAGGACAGAAATTTGGCGCATTAATGTCCGATATATACGCAAATACCTAATCTTCTGGCCTTTGTCAGGGAGATAATAAATCTCAGCAAAGAATAACAAAGTTGTGAGGATGATTTGCCAAACTTAGTTCTAGGTAAGCTAATTTGGATTTTAAATAACTTTGACGTAAACATTATAATATATGCAACAAAAAGTTATGAATTGAAAAGTCATGCCGTTTCACAGGAATCTAATAAAACCGTGTTTACTAAGCCTTCCATTACCGATTTATACGGTGCCTTCCAAGGTCGAAAGAGGTTTAAGGAACGAAGACATAGGCATACAGCTGACTAGTGCCAAAATAAGCAACTTTGCACGCAATTGGTGAGGTTCAATTGGCCTTTTCAGAATTAACTGAGGACTGTGTGATTTTACTTCGAACCACTTTTAGTCAAACAAATCTTCAGTGTACATACCTGTAGTTTTAGCAGCAGACTCCTGAATGACATATCTATGTTCTAACTCGAATTCGCTCGTGTGTTTTAAATTAAATACGATAATCCTGTATTTTTGAATATCTAGTTGCAAAAAAAAGTACTGACGTGAGATATAAACTTATGACGCTAAAACTGGTACCCATTAAGACTTCTTTTAGGAGAGTTATGAGGCGGTTTTGATCCGAAAGCTACCCAGGAATTAGAGTTGAATATAAATAAGGATATTTAGTAGTATAAAATGAAAATTTTATCCCATACTCCCTACAGTATCAATAGTATTTTAAAGTCTGGCAAAACTGTAATACAACAACTATTAAAGAATTAACCCAACTAACTCAAATTGGCAACGTTTGCGGTAAGAATATTACTTGCTTTGGAAACTACTTTGCGCTTGGAGGAAATTAAATTAAAAAAAACATTAATTTATGTGTCAATTTAAGCACCCTGTTTGGTGGCAGTGATAGAAAGCTTTCTATAACAAGTATTATATCTCGAATATTTGCGATAGGATAATTTGGAACATCAGAAACTTGCGACGTACATTGGGAGCGTTCGTGTCGAATTTGAAGCCAACTTAATGCAAAATACTTTCATATAAGTGGCATATAGTAATTTAAGATGCATTCTCTACTATTTTCTAAACTATTTCATAACATTTGCTGCGTTTTAAATTTTTCCTTGTTTACTCTGCGCGTCATCTTCACGAGGGATGTCGTAAGGTAATCTTCGAAGTCTTCTTAGCATTGTGTTTGTGAAATTTTTTTTTTTTAAATGCAGCCCTAATAACCACTTCCTTTTTAAATTTATAACATGTAGTAACAAAAACGTAACATTCTATTTCATAGTTGAAATATTAACTCTACACAAATTAAATAAAATAAACATTATTAAGCGTTATGAGGACAAACTGTGTACATCAGTCCTGTTAAGAGTACATGATCTCTCCATCAGTGTAAATCGAGGTGGAACTTCGACAATTTGCCTCAATAATACAGTCCTTTCATCACTTATGAAAATTCCTTGCAACATTTCCGCAGACAGTTTTACTGGGAACCGAATTTAAATGACTCAAAGGTGATTCAGCGGCCATCGTAGATTTAATTCAATACAATAGTGAGTATACTCTGCAATATAGCCCAAATTGGTTTACTGCTCCCTAAATACATTAGGCTATGTTAAGTAGAGTTATTGCATCGAAAACACTTTTAATCATTAAAACTGAAGAAAATATGTACGAAGCTTGAAGACAGAATGAAGCATAACTTATTGAATCTCTTAAATTACAATGAAGACAGGTTTGACCCTCATAACGATGTGTTTGCTACGCAACAGGAGATTCCTTTCCATGAGCGTAAACATCATTTTTCAAATATAATTACAGACTCTGTGTTTTGACTGAAACAGGTTTAAGGGACTGTTAAGCGTGGCCGAGGCAATTCATTTGCATGCTGCCTCCGAGGCTTTAGCTAACCACGAATCAAAATAGACGGTTCTACAAATTTAATGATTGTAGCACGCCGACGGCTCAAAGTACTTTCTAAAGTTCCCGTGACCTAAGGATAACGACCTGGGTAGATACTGTGTAAAAGCACGAATACAAGTCTAAGGTAGTTGAGGTTGTAGACGAAGATCGGCGTGGAATATTGTGCCATGATTAATGGAAAAATGCCCATTGAAACTTCATTAATGGGGTATTGCAGTTAACTATTTTGGTGTTAAAGTTGCCGGTTCTGTTTTTATCATGGTAAAATATTATTTTTTTAACTAAACAGGACTGCAGGAAGACAATTTATCTCATGACTTAAGTAAATACCCAACAATTAGTAAATAAGTATTTTTTTATCCGTTAGTTATTCTACTTGTGAAAATTTAAAAGTAGACACCGATACTGTTAAAGGGGCAAAAGAAGACGGTTGCAAATGAGTGGTTCTCTAAACAAACAAATGCATAATGCCCTGGAGGAATAGGAAGGTGTAGAAGCGTGAAGGTGGAACCAATCGGTGCATAAGAGTCTACTTAAACATAACCACTTCAAATTCCCTAAGTTAAAGAACACTCAGGGTATTACTAAGGTAATACTTTGTTACATTTGGTGCACCAGTTTTAAGTACGTTGGTTTTAGATTTACTTTATTCTTACTTAAAGTATTCACAATACTTCTCTTATGAGTTGACTTTCGAAGATTCAGTTTTGCGTAAACTGCACTGCCATTGTTCAGTTAGTGTTTCTTTCCAAGTTAAAGTATAAAATTGGCATACCACAAAATTAATAGCCTGAAAACGAGTTTGGATGCCAGACTATGCGCCTGTGTAGTGACGGATCCGTTGTACATCATCGTAAAACTCATGAGCACGTTTTTTGTGTTTGTATTGTTTTGATTTCTCCGGCACTTGGGCCTCAGTTGCATACTCCCTGGCCTTATCAATCATCCTTTGTGAAAATTTCCTTGAAGGAAATTAAATCAGGTCGAAATGTCCCTTTGTAATTAATCAAGACTCTTGTGAGGGGCAACATCAGAATCCACGGAATGTGTGCTCATTAAGGATTAAAATACTATTTTGTATTAAGGCATCCTTACTTGCTTGGAAAATATTTGTTCGAGATCGCGGCAAGCTAGCCCTTATTCGTCTGTGTAAAATCTAAGAATCCTCTACCACTTCGCTGTTTTGAAATACGACAGTGAATATTAGTAACACAGCACCAGGACTTAGTTAATCTGATTAAAGGAATTGAACATTGAGTTACTGAGATACTACTCGTAAAGACGCCCCACAGAATGAGACGTCCAGTTGTGGATTAGTAACTCATAGCGAGACATTTGTCAACCTCATGTTGGATAATTAAAGCCTTGCAGTAAAATCAAGGTCAGTAGGCATGAATAACGATGTCTTCTTCACTTACCACCGACCACTCAAGCCTCCGGAAAAAGGTTCATGTGACACTTGTGAAAAATAACCGCATTATTTACGCTTTTAAAACCTCCAAGTTTATGCATCAATTACAGCTTTTTCCGAGTGTTCATGGTAGGGATTGAAGCTTAACTAATTTTATCCTCAAATTACTCTTTTGCCTAGAAATCCAGTAAGGAAGAACCACTGAACTATGAGCCAAACTTGACGTTTAAATGCCTTTGGCTGGGCTCAAGGGCAACACATTGACACAGGGATCCCTCCAGCCCTATAATAATTAGTGTCTACAGCTGGAGCATTTGTGAGAAATAATGTTAGAGGTAAAACTTGTTCGATAGCTGAGGTATTGGACATTCACCAAACCAAATTTACTGAGAATGGGCTCCATGCGAATTTTTAGGACTGAAATATGCTAAAAAGGTTTTATTGCTTTAAACATCAAAACTGTCAATGTTGCCTCTCAAGTAGGAATACTAAGTGACTTGCATTGACTTCAGAAAAAAGCTAAAATTGATTTCATTATCAAACAACAAATTTTTTTACATCTTTGTGATCTGTGACTTCAATGTGTGTGAAGCCATAAAAAAGAAAATCAAAAGCGCTACACAACAATCGAACAAATTTGCAAGTGATTCGTCACCTGATCAAATGTAAGCACTTAATTTATAAATTGAGAAAGGCAAGTTCAAGCATACAAAATGCGAGGAAATTCCGTGCTTCAGTTATTTGTAGAATGTTCGTCAGGTTTTTGGCCGCAAGAAAATTGAGTTTTAGGCTTTTTACGAGATATGGAGGTGGATTCGTGTGACCTTTAAATGTTTTTTGGCCTTCCCATTAAGAAAATCGGTCAAATAACTTGTAAACTGAAGGAAGCAGTAGGTCTGTGATTCGCAGCTCATACGCTGGGCATAAAATGTCCAAGAAAGGCTCAGATTTTTGCTGGCTTGCATAAGTATTGGTTAAAATCATACCAACCACAAATTAAGTTTTGCCTTTATTACTTTTCCAGAATTGGTTAATTTGCAATAGTTTTCGATTCTGGCCAAGTTGCACTTCATTTGTTTAGAAGTTTGCGATCAAACATGGCCCTCCCGGTCTGAACTGGATTATATTATGAAGGAATCATGTAAATCAGGCACTTTAGGTATACTAGAACACAAATGTAAAACACAAACTAGACGCTTAGGTTGATGTTATGATGTGTACACTTATGCAAAACACTTGATTGTTTTTTGATTTCCGTGAACGTACCTAAAAACAGAACAATGATCCAGCCAAACAAATTGATTACTTCAAAGCCGGCTTAAGATGTTACAGTCATTGCATAAACTTAGGTAAAATAATACCTTAGGAGGCATGACACCTTCATAAGTCATCAAAATTGTTTTTTGGAAAAACAGCCAACTTACTGAGTTGTAATTAATGTGGGCACAAATAGGAAGCTTTCCGCCTCAGCAAAGCCGAATTGTCGTGCAAAGTCGATGACAGATTTTGTAAGGCGCAGGGCACTGAGGTGCTCTGGAGTGGGAGCCAAGTGAGCGCCTGGGGAGGAGACAATCTGGGGTACACTTGTGTTTTTTATCATTCGCTTCGCAAATAACAGCCACTGCGAAGCGTATACACTGGAAAGGAGCTCCGAAAATCGCACCACCTCGGGCATCACGCTGTTATCCAAATCCGTGCGCAACTGACCCACATAGTCTTGAACTGCTGGATTAAGGTCCTTCATCTCGAGAAAAACAAATGTCTCTAGAAGTCTAAACACGTTATCCCGTGGTTTTTGGGGGTTTAACTCAGTCTCCAGTATTTCCTGTACAGTTCGATCAACTTCCCGGGTGACATCAATAACCTGTCGAATCATTTGGTCTTGGCAGACATGGACGAGTTGGGTTGCTTTAGTAGACTGTCGTTTTAGGATCTTTGCGGCTTCAGCCTCAAGTCGAAATGTCTCTAACTTAGAGCCCGGAGGAAGAACGTCATCGTCCCAGCTTGAGTGAAACCTTGGCTTGTCAACTCCGACTGGAGGCCAAAAGCTAAACAGGATGGAGAGGGCTACGGAAAATGTAAAGATGAATGTATAGAATACACGAAAACAAATGTAGGTAACGAGAATGGCTTTTTTTGCGAAAGTAAAACCTTGAACTGGTGAAGTGGACTGTCGCAGATGAAAAAGTGATGATTTAAAACCCAAAGGCATATAGCCACTCTCCGATCTGCTTGATTTTCCTCCAGAAATGACAATGAATTCCTCATCATTGGCATCTTTAAGGTGCAGGTGTTTGAATGAAACGCCGCGTAACCTGTACCGTCTTCGACGCTCAATCAGGCAAATAAGGATATTTAGTACCAAAATGACTATGACGGCTGTTGCCACGAAGCACAATAGCACCAAGTAATGGATAAAGTCGACATCTCCAGTGCTAAATATCCTCGCAATTAGCGAACGCATGGTTTTTTGGGAGGTAGAGTTTTTAAAGCTGTTAATCTTTCCACCAAAGATATCCTGAGATGTTGCATCCCACATCATCCTATCGGGTGAGATCTCGTCAGCAAACATAAGGAGTTGGAGTTTGTGTACGTGAAAGCAATCCTGAACGAAGACTAGCAGCCTGCGCAAGCCATGTTCAGCGTCTTTACCTTCCGAGAGTGTGAACAATAATGGAAGCTGAAGAGAAATTGAAAAATCAGTTGCTTCATGATACTGGACGTTGCGTGAGTGGTTGTCTGCATTGGCAAAAATGAGAATATCCTGATCGAAAAGCGGACTGGCCAACTTTTCGTCAAATTTCGAGTAAATGTTCAGATAAACAGGCGTCACTCTTGTCCTACCTATGAGAAGAAGAGCAAATGAATAAAATGACGATTTGGAATTATAAAATATGTTCATTTTTTTGTTTAACATATTCCCACTTCATGCAATAAAGTCGATTTGTAAGTTGAAAGATAGCGTGAAGAAACTGAAGCAAATTAAAGCAACTGGTGAGTTAAATTCTTAATTTTTCTTCAAAGACGGAATTCCGATGTCCTGGCTTAGTCTGGGAGTTGGTCAAATGCCTCAAAATAACAGAAAGCTAGATGTAGGAAACTGCAATGACAGTTGCGTCTATCGTTAGCTTTATTATTTAAAGAATGCTAATTATTAACAGTTACAAGTTTACCAGTAGGAAATAAAAAAATATCAAGAGTTTATATGACAAATGGGGATTCTTGTTCACTTACCCGAGAACATTAAAGATTATTTTTATGAATTAAACATATCTTGCACTTTGACCGTTTTTGTATTGTAAGATATTTGGTGGCGGGGAAACTAAGGTGCTAAATATTTGGCAATCCACGGTAAGTAAAGGTTTTCTGTTGAAAAAACATCAAAATGGATGAGAGGTTTGTGTATTTTAAGTCAATCAAAACTTACCGTTTACTTTCAATGTCCACCGTTGCCTTGAGTAAACTAGGTCTGGTTTGAACGTTCTAACGGGGTCAATGTCATTACTGACTCGTCCTTCCGCTAATTCGTTGCAAATTGCAAATTGCAGAACCGATGCCTCCTCTGTATTAAGGGAATAGAGCGTGTGACTATAAGAATCGCATAAAACTGTTATATGTGTTGAATAACCAAAATTGACCGGTTGACAAGTTCCAATTAAAATCTCTAAGATAGATTTCATTGGCAGTCAAAATTGGCCAATCAGACGGCAACTGAACTAGCCTTTCCCTAAATGCTGCTTTTCTAAACCTCGAGTGTTGTTTTGGTACTTCCGAAGATGTCATTTCAAATTAGCCAGAAAATCAAGTACAACAGGTAATAATTATTAAGCCAAGTTCCTTTTAAGATGACCATATACACTGCTTATAGTTGACATTATTTTCATTCGAGAGATTGAGGACATAGATGAGCCTGCAGGCATCCATTTCTGCAAATTTACCTTTTGGGTTGTAAGTGTAGAAATTTCGACAGGGATTCATAAATAGAAATAATAAACTCGCTCTAAGCCTACTTACTTTGCCTCGCAGTGTGTTTCTCAGTGGGATGTAACCAGATCGATAGACGTATTTAGAAAACGCGATTGGGCTCGATAAATGAAAGGAAGCCTAACACCTTTAATACATTATTGCTTTGACCGATTCAAAAACAATAGTTAAGCTCGGTAATTTCACACGTGGGTCCTACCCCTGCTAAGCACACATTCACTATTCCACAAACACCAGATTAAAGCATAGCTTGCAGGGAATTTAAAACAAAATATTTTATTAAAGCGAAATTATCGGAAACGAATGTTCTTACCTTGTAGCAAGTATTGAATTCGCAGAGTGTTAGACAGTTCATCTGACATCAAGTACGAAAAGACCTGCGAAATTCTGTCGCTCTGATTGACTTTCAGAGCAGGTGATATACTTGGGCCGTGTAGCACTTGGTCATCCTCAATAATACCGTTAATGTCAAGGTCACAACCAGCCGAACGCCAATTGGAGGTACTATAGAGAAATGGCCGAATGACCTGTATGGACTTCATTTGGAAATCGCTTTGCTTCTGTGTTATGTTTGGCTGGTCACCTTGTTGCGATCCCGTTGTGCGACGGATCGGCCTGAGGTGATGCAAGACAAGTTCGTATTCTACGGCACAAAAATATTTTTATTAAAACGTCAAAAATGTCACTCATTTCACATTAGTTTGCTTAGCTTTAAATCTACAGGAAAACTAGCTAACACGATTCTGACGTGACTATTTTAAGCTTTTATCCTAAAGATGTGTTGGGGATTCAACATCCTCAAAGCGGTATTTTTCAAGCTTTTGACATTGTTATATTTTTTTTCCATCATTCCTGTCTACGCAAGCCAACCCCTGTATTCTCAGCGGACTTCACCTGACCCATTGGCCTTTTCACCTTCAATGTACTTTTGCTCCTACGTGCCTTCAAGGCCGCGCACACCATGGATAAGCGGGCGCATGCGAACGTGCACTCGACCACTGGCTGGGACAGTAAAGGCCCTCTGCGCGAGGTCTTGTCTCCCCTCAGCGTGAGGAGGCACTGGCGCATTGGTGCCTTGTGTGAGTGCCAGTGTGGGAATGGGGGCTGTATTACTTGTATTTGAGCTCAGGATTTTGCATCTGTGTACTGGGAGCCACAACAAGGGCGTACGAAGTTCAGACACCTTATCCACATACATACACCTTTCTTCATACATAATTTTTCCTATTATGAAGTGTCATGAGTGCTTCTCAAACATTGTTTTTGCTAAGCTCGAAACTAATGCCAAAATTAGTTTATAAATACAAAGTGAGCATTGCAATCTAAAAGCTAGCTGTAGAGGAAAAGAATTATTTGAATGCAAATGCCTTATACTTGTCGGGATATAACTAATCGTTATTGAGCACAGTGATAGCATAATCAAAGAAATTACCCTCTTCAGTTGTTTTTTTAGCAGTTTTTACTCCCCTTAATATCACCTCGTCCAGTGTCCTTGATGACGGGTTTTGTGGATAAAACCTCGTCGAGGTTAGTAGGGGTCCGAAGGCAGTGACGCCTGCAGCATCATGCACTGCAACGTAGAAGGACTGTGGTGAACTAATCCACCTCCATTTGGCGAGAGGAAGCCGTGACATATTTTCGCCTCTGTCAATTATCCCCACCTGGATAGTGAAGTTGGCGTGAAAAGTTTGCGCTGAACGGCGCCGGAGGTGACACGTGAAAGAGTTTGATATGTTATGGAAGTCGGGCAAGAGACTGATCTTAAAAGTGTTTCCTTAAACAAAAGGAAACAGTAAATAACGTAGCCGATGGTTTTTTGCATGTTGCTGTACTTACACTTTTCAGACTTATTTTTCACACCCAACCTATTCCACTAAAACAGTTGTTTACTGCTTCCCTCTGAGTTTCACAAATCCTTCATTTTCCGACAGTAATTGGTAGTTCCGTTGATAGCAATATGAAACAATAAATAAATAATGTACCTGAAACCACCTTTTGTTTAAAACGTCTATTTACAAGATATGCCATTCGATGTCAGTTGTCGAAGTATTTAAAACGCCATGACCGTAATTACTTCTGGATTATTTACTACAAGGACAGTGATAAGTCTTACAGTAAACCTGCTGTGTCTTGTAGCCCAGTCTTTCGTTTAAGAACTTTTTTTCTACTTGACTGAAAATATTTGGAAATTGGTCTTTCATAATTAAGAAGCTGGCGTTTAATATGTTTGCACTTGTAATGGTATAGTTAGTTAATACATCATACTGTTAATAAATGTGTCATCTCTTGTAGGTTGATGATGTAAAAAAATTGAATTGAGGTTTGGGTTTGCCACGCAAATCTGATCACACTTGATTTGATTAATATGACTGATTACCGTAAGACGGCTGGACTCCCTTCGTCAAAATCGTTTGGTCGCATGCAAGTTCATGCGTAAATGCCCGGAGTTACACAGCAGAAGCTTCATATCGCACTCGTCAAAAAGCCCTCAGTGAATGAACGTCACGTGAATTCCCCAATCACACATTGTCATGGTTCAAATCGTGTTGGCAAATTATGAAAGGCGGTACATATTGTACGTCATCATTTCGAGATGCATCATTAATCTTTTGGTAATTGTTGATAAAATTACTCTACAGAGATGACAAATGCACCCGCTTGGAGGTAAAACGGCATCTTGACTACCTGGAAATCATGACAAGCTGCTGAGTCGAGTAGGCGCCAGATTGAGTGGTTGACATGTGTAGCTGTTTCTGCGCATTAGGAGTATAACTACCTGATTCTACTCACACTCGTTGCAAGTCGGGGATTTCGAATCAATAGATTTTAGTAATAGAAGTGGACAGCTAAGAAAAGAGGAAGACAACCTTTGTTCCTTTAAATGAACATAAATATTTTAAAGCCAAATGAATATTTTGTGCATAAATTTCCATAACATAAATAATAACACGTAATTAGTATGTTATACCATTAACTAACATTTAAGACTCCCATTCATGTCATCAAAGTAAACACGTAATTTCCCTGATAATATTTCTAACCCCCTAACAGAAGCTTGCATTTTGACAACCAAGGTCAATGGAGCGACTAGAAATTAATAAACAAGGCATACCTTTGACACAACTTCCATTTTCAACAGCTTGTTCATATTCTTCTGGAAAACATGGTGGACTAAAATATCCCAAGCATCCTGGTGTATTGTAGCAGCCAATATGACCGCAGTTGTCGTTGTTTTCATTGCAGTCCACCGAGGTAAAAGCCTTTTCTGTAAGTCGAAACAATTAAAGAGAGCTACTAAAAATTATTAGTAACCGCTATTCTACAGCTAGGAGACCTCAGCACGGTATATGGTCTTGTGAGTGGGTAATGAACACATCTCGGCAGCATTGAGTAACAAACCGTATAGATTGGGAAATCTAGCATATGCTGAATGGCTTCGATTGTAAGGCTTTGCCATTTTCTTAATACTCATTTAATTTACCCCTTTGGGCATCTTTTTTTCACCGCTTTGGAGCGTAAGGTAAAATATTTTGTTGACGATGGAAATGAGGAATGAAAAATGGGATAAACTCTTTATTCTAACCGGGAACTTTCCAAGCTACAAATTAACGAAAACTAGGGAGTAATTAGGTATTCTGTTGTGAAAACAAACATATAACTATATTCAGTAAAATGAGTCATGCGTTGTCTTCTAAGTGAGCGTTTGGATTAGGCCACCTTAAAAAGTGGTGTGTTTTAGGCACCAAGCGCAAAAGAGAAGGATTTTTAGACCTATTCAATTTTTTTGATTTGTTGTTTTAAATCGTGATCATGGTGAATTGCTAATTTAATAAGGCGGCATTATAGACCACGAATCCCAGTTTAATTCGAGCAAATATGCTAATCCGACGGGCTTTGCACTAGTGACGAACTGTTGCCTGACACAAATTTGGATCATTGTTGAGTTAAGTAAATTTTGGCAGAATTTTAGGTTTGTACTAAAGCCTCACTTTTTGACTAGTTGCCTTTGGTTGGAACGGAACTTGATATCATTGACCACGCTAATCCACGTAAGCCTGGTTTGTCAATCAAAATTTTAGAATCGTCAAGGGAATCCGGTAGATATCCAAGTATAATTTTTAGCAATTAATTGATGAATAAAACCCTACTCTTGTAAACAAGAACAAAAAGAACCTCTGAATAGATGGTACAAATTTATAAAGATGATAAATTAATCCCTCTCCACATAGTGTGAGAGCTAATGTTCGTCTTGCTATTACAGGTAGTACCAATTAAAATTTCAAGCCCTCAATTTTTGGTGTTTACTAAGAACTTGACTTATAGTTTGGGAGATTAAAGTAAAACCCATATTTTGAAACGAAGGATGCGGAAGTCAGGTGGTGTCCCAAAGCTAAATATGCTGCCCTGCATGCGTTAAAGAGCCTTTTGAGCATTTTACGCAACTCAGAAGCGGCCGAGGCCTTGCGGCAGATTAAAGAGTGAATTCGGCAGATAAGGAAACAAGATACTTTGATTGGTCTGGTGTTATTTACTTGACTACCTTTTTCTACCGGAGTTGTTTCCTTGCTACTTAGCTTAAGCAGTTTTAATTGTAATACGTGTCTGAAAAGCACGCTTATCTTTGAGTGTACAAACAGGTGTATTTTTATTAACTCAATAATCTTCAGACATGTATCATTTTTCATCGTAGGTCTAGATCGTTTTCTGTTAAAGAAAAGTGTACAATTGAGAAATAAATTTTGATTAGGCTAATAGCGTAAGCAACTTTACACGGTTGAATGTGCAGGCAGGCTTTGTTATTTAGCGAAGTAACAAGTTATTTTCCTAGTCAATGCTTTGGTTGTTCAGCGGTTAGGGCTGGACAAGCTTCCAGTAAACGTTACTAGACAAACTAGGTTTTTCCGAAAAGCAGCACTAGCTACAACTTCAAACAAGTTAAGAAGGATGTACAATGATTTAAACATACCTCCATAATTGCTGATCGACCTTTCCAATGCTTTTGCATTCAAATCAAACAGCACACGTTTGACTGAGCTGTCGACCATTTAACTAACAGCCTCTTTATCATTATCTCCAAAAGATGCTCACTTGCTTTATGTTTGCGCGCCTTTTCTAAGTTCGCAGTTAAGTCGTAAAACTTGTTTTTAACAGAGGAAAGCTTAAAAGTCTAAAAAATAGTTGAAACTTTAGTGCCATATTTTGTACTTTTGATGCTCAAGTGCAGAAACGGTCTTCATGAACTAGTGCGAATGAAATGTCTTATGGTAAGCCGTATATCGAGCCACACAAACAATATTAATAACCATATATTAATAGTAGTATGTTTATGTATGATGAGGCCATGTGTGATGAAATTGCTCTGCTTGATTGATTGGTCGATATAAAAAATGTTGGTCTTAAATGAACACCATAACTTAAGCAGCAAGAACAATTATTGTAAGTTAACATGTCTGACAACTTTTGGTGTCGATCAAAATAGTTGGATTTGAAGAGATGAAACGTTTAACTCACCAGACGTGATAGCACTGGATTGAAGTGTCTT